CAACAAAGCAAAACCTATACTTTTCTAGAATGTTTTTTCATTAACCAGCAGCTTAACAGTCCTAAAGTCTTCATCTCACCCAAATTCCTTTCCTTCTTTTCTTTGTGCTTAATGTGGTCTAAACTTGAGAGCGTGGTGCCATTGAAAACAGATCAGGGGTGAGCATGAGCTACATCACTTCCGGGTTATGTGACCTTGGGCAAGCTACTTAATTTTTCTATGCCTCGGTTTCTGTAAAATGGGATAACAGTTTCTGCTTCACAGATCCTTGTGTGGAATATGTAATATGTAGGGCTTAGTGGGCACTCAATACATATTTTCTCTTCTCTTTCCTTCCTCCTTTGAGCCATCTATAATTGCTCGTATGCAAACGCATGATATTTATATAGAACATCAGAACAATTCTAAATACTGACTGGAAGATAATATAGACTCTAAATCTACTGATGCAACTTGTATCTTAAAATACAAAGGTTAGTTTGGTGAAAAAATTTGAAGATAGCAGTGATGGTTAAACAACCAAGGGAATGTACTTAATGCCCCTGCAAACTTAAAAAATGGCTAAAAGTGCACATTATGTATAATTTACCAAAATTTTTTTTTTTAATTTGGAAAAAATTAAAATGAGTTCATTCTGAGTCTATTCCTTACTGGGCCAGAAAAAGAAAATGGAACCATAAGTGTTTAATACTTGACATGGCCTCCCCATTAATCTAACATTTTTCACAAAGTGTTGACTATTGTATAAATCTTTTCAGATTTCTTTGATCCTGAAGTTTTGGCAGACATTAACGCTATAATAAAAACGTGTTCAAAGGCATTGTTTAGATTTTTCTTAAAATGCTTTGTTCTTTGTAAGGGTAGTAATCCCTTCAACTGAAGCTGGGAACAGATTCAAACTCTTTTAATGGAACAGGAAAATATCTCTTATCAGGGAACTGCAGAGAGGGAAGATCTTGGCCCTATTGAGTTCCATATTCCCAAGAAGCTTCTCCCCCCCCCCCCGGGGGCCCCCCCCCCCCTTTTCCAAAGGAAAGAAAAGAAAGGAAGGTCTCTGATGCAAAGCAATTCTGTTTAAATATCCCAGAAAGAGTGAAAAAGGGAGAAAACTTCATTGAGAATCAGTTGCCTTGAGCACTTTGACCCTGGATTTACCTGCAATGTTTTTTTCAGTCCTTATTATGGGCTTGCTTTGAAGAGCACTGTGCTAGATACTTTCTCACAAGTGAGGTAGTTTAAAAGTCACCACTATCCTGTAAACCAATATCTCCATTTAAAAGATTTTTTAATGAGGTTCAAAGAGGTTAAAATCAATTATCCAATTATCATGACTGAAACTAGTACGGTCAGTAATTAAAGTAGAACTATTCTTAGCAGAACTACATTTTTGATAAAAGTATGGAAACCAAGCATATGGAGTTGTGCAGAGTATCAGCCCCCAACCAGGACTGTTGTCCAAACTCTTGAAGCTATGCGAGGGTAGAGCCTCCTGCTTTGGGGCAGCACGGAGCCCTGCCTGGTCTTGGCTTGCCCTTCCTCATCATTTTGCTGACATACTTGCAACCTAGTCACCCATGTCTCTTCACAGAGTGTTCATCGTGTCTATCCCACCAGGCCCTGGGATAGAGGCCAGGTCACCGTGTGAACGAGGTGGACACAGCATTTGCTCTTAGGGCACTTCTGATTTGATGGGCAATAGCAACAGGGGAAGTACAAACTGTGAACACAGGACCCTATGGTCCCCACCTGTGTGAATCTCCTGCCATTGCTGTGTTAAATCACCACTAACTTGGCGGTTTGCACAAGTGTATTATCTTTCAGCCTGGAGGTCTGAGGCCTGAAATAGGCCTCTAGGTCTAATACCAAGGTGAAGACAGGACTGTGTTCCTTCTTCAGGTTCTGGGGAAAAATCTTTTCCCTTGCTTTTCAGCCACCCACATTTCCTGACTCACGATCTCTTTCCCTGTCTTCAAAATGTTGCCTCTGTGTCTTTCTTCCAGAGTCACACCTTCCTGGAGTGTCTTCCCCTGACCACCTTAGAGACCCTTGTGATTACATTGGACCCACCTGGATAATCCAGGAGGCTTTCTACATCTCAAGGTCCCTAATCACACCTGCAAAGTTTTTATTTTTTCCATATAACATAACAGGTTCTAGGGATTGAGACAGAGACGTCTTGGAGAGCCTGGGTGGCTCAGTCGGTTGAGCATCCGATTCTTGATTTTGGCTCAGGTCATGATCTCACAGTTCATGAGCTCGAGCCCTGCATCTGGCTCTGTGCTTACAGTGCAAAGCCTGCTTGGGATTCTCTCACTCTCTCTCTCCCTCTCTGCCCCTCCCCTGCTCTCTCTCTGTGTCTCTCAAAAATAAATAAATAAACTTTAAAAAGAAAAAGACAGAGACACCTTTGGGGGCTCATATTCTGTCTTCCTCAACAAACCAGACTGAGGGACATACCTAGGCTCCAAAAGGAGAGGATGATTTCAGAAAGACCCTTTCCATTTTTTTTAACAAATGAAATAAACCCCTTGTTAAATTAAAATATTCAAACCCAGTGCTACCAAGTAACAGCAAAACCCTGATAATCTTGAATCATTCATAGTTATGGAGAGATAATGGGTTTGTCTGAACTGTCAGAACCAATGTAAGACTATTTGTGCATGGTAGAGCAGTTTCTCAAAAAATTAAAAACAGAACTACCACATGATCAAGCAATTTCCTTCCTAAATAATTGGAAAAAATTGAAAGAAGGGACTAGAACAGATACTTGTATGGTCATGTTCATAGCAGCAGCATTCACAATAGCCAAAAGGTGGAAAAAACTTAAGTGTCCATTGATGGATGAATGGATTTAAAATGTGGTCTGTACATACAATGGAATATTATTCAGCCTTAAAAAGAAGGAAATTCTGACATGAGTTACAACACTGATGAACCTTGAAGGTGTGCTAATTGAAATAAGCCAGTCATAAAAGGGATGAATACTGTATGATTCCACTTCTATCCAGTACTTAGAGTCATCAAATTCATAGAGAAAGAAAGTGGAGTGGGAGTTGCCATGGGCTGGCAGTGGGTGAAATGGGGAGTTAGTGTCTAATGGGGACAGTTTCAGTTTGGGAAGATGAAAAAGTTTTGGGGACAGATTGTGGTGATTGTTGCACAACAGTATAAAGGTACTTAAGGCCATTGAACAAGTGGTTAAGATGATAAATTTTATGTTATGTATATTTTACCACAATATAAAACAAAGGTCTTTGTGGATTTTTAATAGAGTTTTGATCATTAAAAAATGAAATAGAAATACCAAACAGAGGGGAACCTGGGTGGCTCAGTCAGTTAAGCATCCAACTTTTTATCTCAGCCCAGGTCTTGATCTCAGGGTGGTGAGTTCTAGCCCTGCATTCAACTCCACACTGGGTGTGAAGCCTACTTAAGAAAAGAGAGAGAGAAAGAAAGAAATATGAGACAGAGAAGCTTTGATGAAGTGTACATACAGCCTTTTGCTCAATTCTTTGTATTTATCAGACCTTCTACTCCCAAAGTTTACATTGATCTAAAGGGTCAGACCAGTTAGAGACAGCAAAGGGGCCAGGCTGTCCCCAGAATGCTGTCCTCTGCCTTGGAGTCCAACCTAGGATGTCCTTCTTTTTTATTTTGCCACACCCCCACCCCACATCCGCCATTTCAGTCAGTTTGTCAGGAACTCTTTGACAGCCAGCTATTCCACAAGTACCTGAGAAGTAATAGCTTTTCCACACCACCCACTTGCCTGCCTCAGAGTCCAGGGGAACACGAGGGGACTTGCCTACCATTTATCCTTGCAAAGGGACCCACAGAGCTCCAAATCTTGAGGTGTAGACCATAAATCTCAGCTATTTATGTGCACTTCTCTGTATTATGTTTGTTTCTCTGGGAGATTACGTTTCTCTTAAATGTTTCCAATTTTCATTCAGTACCTTTATTCTTCCTTTCTTGTTGAAAACATAACACGTCTGTCTCAAGAAGCTCACCAGCTTTGCACATAAGCCAACACGGAGATTTGAACCCATGTAAGAGAGAAAGTGTGTGCCTGACAAAGCCTGGGTTGGCCCCAATAATTCCCAGGGCTCTCAGAGCCCTCCAAGACACAGGCATGTGGGATCCCTGTGGGGTGAGAGAGAAGAGTTGGCATATTGAGAAAGCTGCACGAAACATGGCTGCTGATGTGACCCATAAGCCACGCTCTTCCACACAGGCCATGGAGGCCCACAGGTGTGGAGAAAAAAACACGTTCTGAGGTAGAAACTAGTAGACCCTTACGGATATTTTGTAAGTCTGTCAATAAAAAAGTAATACATGTAAAGTGCTCAACACTAATACCTGACATATATACAACAAATGCCCAATATGGGGACCTATCACTACTAGCTATTACTACATGACTTGGGACACATTTTGATCCAATCAAAACTGTGTTGGGCTTATCATGTCACTCAGAGATAATATGCCCTAAGCATTTATGGCCTCAGGAGAGACCCAGTGGTCTTTCTTCATGGAATTTAGAAAAAAAAAGAAAAAAGAAGCAGAGAATCAGCAACTGTGTATCTGAAATATGGGCCCATGGGAGATTCCCATGTGTTTGGCAAGTGGAATGAAGTTCTTGTTCTAACTGCATGATTGTTAAGCTGCCTTCCAACTGTGACATGGTTCCTCACATGGACTCTTCTGCAAATGTAGCAGTGGGGTAGAATCCTAGAGTTCTCACTAAAATGGGAGTGGGGCCAGAGTTTGAGTTCCAATCCTGCCATGGACAATGAGTTGCCTAACGTTGAGTATGTGTTTTTGCCTCCTCAGGTCTCAGTCAATGGGCTAAATTATCTCAGCTATCTTTTTGGCCCTAACATCCTACATCTTTGAGCATTCTAGGCCACTGGCAATTATATTTTTCATAGCAACTAAATAAACTCAGTATTCTTTATCAAGTCACCTCTTCTGAGTTCAAAATGAACCACTTCCTCTGATCCTGGTTATTCCAGGGATAAATGATAAAAATTTAGTTTCTGGAATTACCAGTCTGACAGCAAAGCCTTAATCAAGGATAGGCACCCAAGATGTAGTCTTTCTGTCTTCCACTGCAATAGCCCCAGCTTCTTTTCCATCTGCAAAATAAAGGTGAGGTCAAACCTTGATTTGCAAAGTATGATTGAGCTTTAAAAAAAAAAAAAAAAAAACTCTAGGAATGCAAGCTGGTGCAGCCATTCTGGAAAACAGTATGGAGGTTCCTCAAAAAATTAAAAATAGAACTACCCTACGATTAGTTAGGAATTGTACTAGCAATTGCACTACTAGGTATTTATCCAAGGGATACAGGTGTGCTGTTTCAAAGGGGCACATTCACCCCAATTTTTATAGCAGCACTATCAACAATAGCCAAAGTATGGAAAGAGCCCAAATATCCATCGATGGATGAATGGATAAAGAAGATGTGGTATATATATTCAAAGGAGTATTACTCAGCAATCAAAAAGAATGAAATCTTGCCATTTGCAACTACATGGCTGGAACTCGATGGTATTATGCTAAGCAAAACTAGTCAGTCAGAGAAAGACAAATATCATGTGACTTCACTCATATGAGGACTTTGGGAGACAAAACAGATGAACATAAGGGAAGGGAAACAAAAATAATATAAAAACAGAGAGGGGGACAAAACATAAGAGACTCTTAAATATGGAGAACCAACTGAGGGTTACTGGAGGGTTCTTGGGAGGGGGGATGGGCTAAATGTGTAAGGGGCATTAAGGAATCTACTCCTGAAATCATTGTTGCACTATATGCTAACTAATTTGGATGTAAAATAAATAAATAAATAAATAAATAAATTAATAAATAAGTAAAATGTAACCAAAGAAAAGACTACCTAGAAAATTACTTTGGAAATACAGTGTATTCTGAAATAAAGTCTCAAGATATTAAAAAATAATAATAATAAATAAATAATAAAATAAAATAAAATAACCTATATTTAAAAATAAAAATTAAAAAAATTAAAAACTCATGAATTATGAATTGTACATTTAAATAAACACAAGTTATGCTTTTCATTTACTTTACAAGTGTTGCTGGGTGACAATTTTACACTACCAGCCAGATAGGAAGAAAGAATGTGGTCTGTTTTGTTTGGACCTGTACCTGATTCTGTTTTCCTCTTTATCTCCCACCTATCAGGTAGCAGAGGAAAGATAATTAATTATAGACTGATTTCTGACCTTAGTTAGATGCAGTAACTTAAACAATCCCTTTGATACTCATTCTTGGGAAAATTATATCTCAGTGCCCTCACTTCCATGTCCATCCCTTCCAAGATGTGCTGGGTATATGGGGGTAGAGGCCTCCTATGACCTCATGGTGGTGGAATAAAGGGGTCTGGGGATCCAGGAACTATCCTCAGCCCCATTTTGTCCTGGTAAATCTGGCACTAAGGTGGCCTGATTTTGTCTGTTGGATCTGCCAGTCTGCTGATGACATTTGTGCCTCATGACCCTGAGGCCCGTTCCTTTCCGGTGGATCCTCCCACTGACTTAGCCTTCTTTCAGCTCTTACTGGTTGACAGCTGAGTCTGAGTTCCCTGACCAGGCTCTGTTGTGGGGTTCCCCACCTTACCACAGCAGACCGTAGCTTTCAGCCCAACATTTACACTATGTGAGAAACTAGGTAAGGTTGAGAATGTTAACCAAATTTGCTCTGTCCAACTATGTCATACCACCATGCTGGATCACACCATGCTAGTGTGGTCCCTGCATAGCATTGTCCTTCAGGGTGCCAAATGGTAAAGAGGGGAAGCATATCCCACCCTCTGTTCCCCAAGTTCCCTTTGATCCATCTGTCACCAGTACTGTGCTGATAATTTAGCAATAGACTCTCCAAGAGTTTGAAATGTTTGCTAATTATCATGGTGCAAATATCCCCACCATGTCAAATTTTAAGAGTTTGTACAAGCCAGTTCCAACACACTTCTGATGCTCAGACACTCTCAATCCTCCTCAGCATAAAAACAGAAAATTGCAACACACTTCCAACCAACCTCCCCTACCTCTTTTTCACTATTTTTTTCTCTCATCATCTCCTAGGATGGAAAGGGATAGATTTTCCCTCTTTCTCCTACCCAGAGCAGCAAGCTGCACAACTAAAGCATCTTCTCTATGCTATGGAATGAATAGAACCCCTCCACCCAAGTTACTAAATAAGAGATAAAAATATTAGAAAATGGTTTCCTTTACCAAAACATATTGTCAGGCTAGAACAATCAATTTTGAATGTCAGAAGCTGAACATCCAGTTATTCATATTAGATTGTTTCTATCAATCATCAAGTTCACTGATTCTTTTCTCTATCATTTGGTTACTGTATTTTTCATTTCTAAAGTTCCTGTTTGGTTCTTTTCACCATTTACTATCTTTTGTTTGTTCACTGAGACTTTCTATCCTCCCACTGTTTTCAAGAGGGTTTGCCATTACTTCTTGAAGCATTGTTATAATTACTGCTTTAAAGTCTGCCAGATAATTCCAACATCTGTGACATCATGACTTTGTCATCTGTTGGTTATTCTTCCATGCAAATTAAAATTTTCCTGGTTCTTAGAATGCTAAGTAATTTTGGATTATTTCCAGGATATTTTGGATATTATGTTGTAATACTCCTGGTCTTATTTCAAACCTATGGGGAATGCTGATGGTTTTGTTTAGGCAGGGAAACTGCTTTGTTTAACAGACTCTGTTGGGTTCAGCTGCAAGTTGTGAACAGCCTTCTGTCCGTGTGGTTTAAATATCAATACCATTTTCAAAGCTTTTGCAGAGTTATTCAGATGTGTCTCCCATGTGTGTCACCCAGTGGGCAGTCTGGGTGCTGGGCTGTGGTCTATCTAATGGGTCAGTGCTCAAAGTCTGTGTCTCAAAGTCTCAAAGTCAGTTCTGTTTAGGGTCAGATCCACGCATTTGCAGCCCAGTGGTGAGCCCAGCAGTTCATAAACAATTTTACAAGATTGCTTTTCTGAGTTCCTTTTTCTCTGTGATTTCCCCAATACTTTCTGGTCTTTTCAGTCTCCAGCCAGAATGTTGGAGCTTATTTACTCACTATGACACACACTTGGTGCAACTGAGTCCATGCTTGGGACAAAGCAATGAAAAAAGTTTAAAAAACATTAACAAGTGTTCAGTGCACCTTCTTGGACCACAGTTCTTCTGACTGGAGTTCTTCCTCCCTCAGAGTTTTGGGGCCCCCATTGCTGCCACTATTCCTGCTGCCACCAAAGAATTGCTTAGGGGCTGAGATGCAAGAGAATGGAGAAATGGGGGAAAATATGGGGAATTTCCCACTTTCTATTAGCATTAGGAGATCCCTTATCCACTCCTCAAGTCAGACCCAGAGAGCTTTTCCTAGATCTTTCTCTGTGCTGGTGCCACTTTCCAGGTTGCAGGTTGTGCTGAGTCCAGGAAACATTGGAAGGGAAAAAAACAAACTCACAACTGGCTTAGTGGCAATTCAAATGCTAGTCTTTTTCCCTGATTCACTTGCTACTATTTACCTCCAGAGTCCTTAAATAGCTGTTCAAGTTTTATACTGATTTAAGTGGGAGAGACTGGATGAGCTGTGTTTAATTCATCTTATCTAGAACTGGAACCATCACAATGTAGTCAGAGAAATCTTTCTAAAGCACAAATATGCCCAGATCACTCCTGTGCTGAATGTTCTGTAAAGTTCCCTCAAAGCCCTCCATCTGTGATACCATCCACTCTATAATCTGGGTTTTCCTCCTGTCTCCAGCTTCCAGTGACTCCCACCTTTCAATCTACACTGAAGCAACACGGAACACTTGAAGCTCCTGGAGCACACAGTACTCTCCTGACCACCTAAGCTTTTGCCCATGCTGCTCCCTTACCTAGAATGTGCTTACCCTTTCTTTCTTGGCTACTTCCTCAGAGATCTTAGTTGAGATATTGCTTTCTCTAGAAAAATGTTCCTTACCTACAAAATGGATTAGTTTTCCCTATAATGAGCTCGCATTGTAGTTTATCATAGCACTTCATCACTCTGTGCTAGAGTGTGAGCACCTTGAAGGCAGGCACAGTGCTTTCATGAGTTTCTAATAAAGGATCTGGAGAATAGTATGTTCTAATCAATACCTGTGGAATTGAATTGTATCCATATCAACAGTGCCCCTGAGAAATTGATTTTCCACCCTTGAGCTGCTGCCTCCCTTGCCATTTGGTTCTGTGTCAACAATATGCCCTACCCTGGATCTTAGACTCCACCCCAGATCCTGGTCTACACCTCTCCAAACTTCCATTGTCAGAACCCCCAGATTTTTTATCCCATCTTTAGACTCAGGTGACTGAGTGCTGCTCCCTCAGATGTCCACCCCTTGACCTCAGTCACTATCTGTAGAATTGAATAATATAAGTAAGTATTCACCATGCCCTAGGAAGAAGATTTCCTCCCCCAGACCTTTGTCCAAGCCCCTGGTAACCACCAGATAGTAATCACATGGAACATGATTTGGGGGTTCACTTTACCATCTCACCCCATCTGCCTGCCTAGACCTGCAGAGTACAAAAGAAATCCGATGTGCAAGCCATAGGTATAATTTAAAATTTTCTAGTCACATTTTTAAAACAAGAAAAAGAAACAGGTGAAATTACCTTTAATAATATATTTTATTTAACACAATATATCCAAAATGTATCATTTCAACAAAACAATATTTTAAAAATTATCCAAGAAATATTTTACATTCCTGTGTTCATACCAAGACTTCAAAATCCAGTTTGTATTTCATATTCACACACTTCTCAATTTGGGCTAGCCTCATTTCAAGTGCTCAAAGGCTACATGTGACCAATGGATGCTATATTGAACAACCTGTGACTGGAGACTGGGTATTAAATTGTTAGCAATAGCTAATGTTACTTACCCACAAGAATGTGTACTTACAACATGACCAGCACTCCATACTGAGCCTCTAAGATTTTTTTTATGCATTATCAAATTTAATTCCCACAGCAATCCCACAAGTTAGGGACTGTCACAAATGAGGAACAATCTCAGAAATTAAGCTCTTGACACAAGTGGTTCAGTGACAGAGCCAAAGCTAGAACCAGACTGGAGTATCTCCAGGCTCATGTACTTACTCCTCTTCTACTGCCTTCTAACCTGTGGGGCACTTAATAAACATGGAATTTGCTAACCCTCAGATGCCATTCATTGAAAATACACATAAGGGTTAAAAATTCTATGGATAGCATAGCCAGAAAGTTTAGATGGGTAAATTCATGTTTTGAAAGTCATCAGAGACAACAGTCATATACTTCCAGAAAATAGCTCATGTGCCTGGTCAAAGAATAGTTGAATCAATGACAAGTCCAGTGAAAGGTAGTGTTTATTATGTTCTAAAGCTTTGAAAGCTTCAAAAGGAATTAGTTTAGAAAAAGTTAATTTTCAACAGATTTGACAGACAATTAAAATCAAGCTGGTTTTCTTCTTGGTCCCCTCATGCAACAAACTGTTAGCCTCTAGGGCCAATGTTTTTAGCCTGGTACACAGTGGGGTGGTTTAAGCTGCTTTCTCACATGCTGTTTTCAAAGACCTCTCCATGATGAACATCAGTGGTTTCCTTCTCTTCTCCTTGCTAACTAAGAGGGATGCTGTCCTAGAAACAGGAACGTGAGATCTACTAGTACTCTCAGCCTATGGAATAAATATCATCTCCCAGTAATAGTCCTGGGTGATTAAGCTTTTCTTTTTGCCATCATTCATTCCATGGGAATTATTTACTCCTTTAACCTTCAGGATTTATATACAAAATGTATATCTTTTTCAATCAGGATTAAGTTCTGTTTTGAGGAACAGAAAATCAAGCAGTGAGTTACACAAGTTGGAAGTTTATTTTTCTCTCCCATGAACCTAGGCTGTCTAAAATCAGTGGTGCTTGGGTTTGTTTTATTGTGTGGCTTCATATCTTCCACAAAGGGCTTCTGACTCATGGTCCAAAATGGCTGTTTAGGGCCAGTCATCTCATCATAATCCAGCCAGCAAGAGAGGAGAAAGGGCAGAGAAAGAGTGCACAGTCCCCTTCATTTAAGAGCCATTTCTGAAAGTTGTTTATGCATCTTATACATATACCATATGAACCAGAATTCAAGACAAGACCATCCAAATTTCAAGAGAGGACAAGAAGTGTAATCTTTGCTCTGGGTGTCCGCAGCAGCAATGAGAATGTGCCTCTTGGATCTGTAATAGCAGGAAGCATAATTTTCCGAGGGCCCCAGCTCCTGCACTCTGAAATCCATCACCACATTTGCAGTGAG